AGCTGCTGCTGCTGCTGCTGCTGCTGCTGCTGCTGCTGCTGCTGCTGCTGCTGCTGCTGCCGCTGCTGCTGCTGCTCATGTTGCTGCTGCTGCGGATTGTCGTCGGCGCTGCTGTCGCTGAGCGCGTTGCTGCTGCTGCTGCTGCTGCTGCTGCCGCTGCCACCGGGCCGCTGCAAACGGCAGCCCACCGCGGCCTGGATCCGAGGGTTTAGGGTTTAGGGTTTAGGGTTTAGGGTTTAGGGTTTGCTGAATGCCTCTCAGGGATATTTGCCGCTAACTCGCGACAGGAAAGACGCAGGTACTTAAGGCTTAGACTTTAGGGTTTAGGGTTTAGGGTTTAGGGTTTGGGGCTTGTCTTGCTGGGGCCTTCTATGCGCACTACGGAGTTGCTGCATCTGTTGCTGCTGCTGCTGCCGCGAGTTGCTGCTGCTGCCTTGTGTTGCTGCTGCTGGTGCTCTGTAGTTTGATTAGATATTGCTGCTGCTGCTTTTGTTGCAGCAGCTGCTGGGTTTTGCTGCTGCTGCTGCTGCCTTTGCTGCCGCTTGTGGATGCTGCTACCGCATGTTGCTGCTGCTGCTGCTGCTGCTGCTGCTGCTGCAGCGCTGGCGAAGAAGAGGGCGGACTACCAAGAACTGGTCCAGGTAGGAGCCCCCAGCCTTCCCCAAACCCTAAACCCTAAACCCTAATCGCTGAACCCTAAACCCTAGCCCTAAACCCTAAACCCTAAACCCTCGTGGAGGCAGTTCGGTGGGGAGTTACGGGCTGGCGCGAGCAGCAGCCGCCGCCGCGGCGCCGCGCCCCAAACCCCAAACCCCAAACCCTAAACCCTAAACCCTAAACCCTAAACCCTAAACCCTCGGGTTTGCTTCTGCTGCAGCACTACTACAGCAGAGGAGAAGCTTCAGCAGAAGAAGTGAAGCTGCTGAAGCAGCTTCGCGTGGACTTGCCGCGGACTCACGCGGGCAGGAAGTTCTTTGCCCACCCCCGCATTCAGCTGTAAACCCTAAACCCTAAACCCTAAACCCTAAACCCTAAACCCTAACCCTTAAGCGTTAAGCCCTAGGGTCTAGGCCTTAGCTCTCGTGCAAGGCGCAGCTGAGCAGCGGCAGAGGCGGTGGAGGCCCTTGGGGCGGCGGTTTACCTTCTGCTGTTTAGGGTTTAGGGTTTAGGGTTTAGGGTTTGGGGTTTAGGGTTGACCAGGGCACAGATGCACCCACCTGCTGCTTTGCGCTGGCAGCAACTCAGGCAGCAGCAGCAGCAGCAGCAGCAGCGCCTACAGCAGCAGCGCAGCTGTCGTTGCTGGACTTTACGCGGGCTGTGCTGCTGCAATCTGTTCTGCTGCTGCTGCTGCTGCTGCTGCTGCTGCTGCTGCTGCAGGGGTATGGAGCGCGCATTATTTCTGTGGGCTGTCAAACACCCGGCCAGCGGCTATGTGCAGGTGCGCACTTGGGGTTTAGGGTTTAGGGTTTAGGGTTTAGAGATTAGGGTTTAGGGTTTAGGGTTTAGGGTTTAAGGGTGGCTGCTGTTCAAATTGTTCTCAGGGCATTAATGATTTACTGACTCCCTTCGTCGCAGTGTTCCTACACGCAGCGCTCGGTAGGGTTTAGGGTTTAGGGTTTAGGGTTTAGGGTTTAGGGTTTAGGGTTTAGGGTTTAGGGTTTAGGGTCCTCGAAGTGCTCTGGAGTGCCGTTAGGGTTTAGAGACTTCGCTGCGTGTGTCCCCTGTATCTGGAAAAATGGCAGCAGGGGCCTCTAGGGTTTGGGGTTTAGGGTTTAGGGTTTAGGGTTTAGGGTTTAGGGTTTGAAGTGGGGACTTTCTGCTGAGGGTTTACGGCTTGCTGCTGCTTCTCAGGGAGAGATCCCGAGGAGCTTTCTATTGACGAGGTGAGGCCTTGCAGCAAAAGGAGCAGCAGCAACAGCAGCAAAGCAGCAGCAGCAGCAGCAGCAGCAGCAGCAGCACGAGCTGAGGTTTTGCTGCTTGCTGCTGCTGCAGGTAGACGAGGAAGTGCTGCTGCAGGTTGAGGCGGACAGCTTTTGGTGTCTCGCGAAGCTGCTGGCCCATATTCAGGTCTGCTGCTGCAGCTGCTGTTGCTGCTACTGCTGCTGCTGCTACTGCTGCTGCTGCCGCTGCTGCTGCTGCTGCTGCTGCTGCTGCTTGCTTGCGTCGTGGATCACAAAGGGCTGCTCCCTCCGCGCGTAGTGCAGTTGCTGCTGCTGCTGCTGCTGCAGTTTGCGGCTTCAAGCACAGCTCAGATTATTGCTGCTGCTGCTTCTGCTGCTGCTGCTGCTGCTGCTGCTGCTGCAGGATCACTACACGTTCGGACAGCCGGGCATTCGCCGCCTTGTCGTTCGGCTGCGGGACATCGTCAAAAGGGTTGATGGTGCGCTGCTGCTGCTGCTGCTGCTGCTGCTGCTGCTGCTGCTGCTGCTGCAGGCCAGCCCCTGCGCTGCTGCTGCTGCTGCTGCTGCTGCTGCTGCAGGCCAGCCCCTGTGCTGCTGTGGCATTGGCTGCTGCTGCTGCTGCTGCTGCAGGCCAGCCCCTGTGCTGCTGTGGCATTGGCTGCTGCTGCTGCTGCTGAGCAAGCAGCAATTGATGCAGAGACTCGCTGCTGTTGCTGCTGCTGCCGCTTTGCTGCTGCTGCAGAAGGCCTTTACCAGCACCTGGAAGACCACGGGGTCGATTTGCTGCAGGTCACTTTCCGCTGGATGAATTGCTTGCTCATGCGGTATGCTGCTGCTGCTGTTGCTGCTGCTGCTGTTGCTGCTGTTGCTGCTGCTGCTGCTGCTGTTGCTGCTTTTCTTGGTTGGTGCTTCTCTTATGTCCGTTGCTGCTGCTTGTTCTGCTGTCTGCTGAGGTCACTGTCTGCCTCTGCTGCAGCTGTACAGCTGCTACTGCTGCTTTACCGCTGCTGCTGCTGCACTGCTGCTGCTGCACTGCTGCTGCTGCACTGCTGCTGCTGCTGCTGCACTGCTGCTGCTGCACTGCTGCTGCTGCTGCAGGGAGTTCCCTCTGAGCTGCGTAATTCGACTGTGGGATACTTACATAGCGGAGCAGGCGGAAGGCTTTTCGGACTTCCACGTCTACGTCTGTGCAGGTGCTGCTGCTGCTGCGCTGTTGCTGCTGCTGCTGCTGCTGTGCTGTTGCTGCTGCTGCGCTGTTGCTGCTGCTGCTGTGCTGTTGCTGCTGCTGCTGCTGCTCTTGTTGCTGCGGGCAAAAAGTTTGCAGCGGCAGCTCTAGGTGAAGAGCCTCTGCTCCGCGTTGGGGCTGTGTTCAGGCTTAGGGGCTGCTGCAGCGGCTGCTGCTGCTGCTGCTGCTGCTGCCGCTGCTGTAGCAGCAGCAAAGTGTCTGCAGCTCGTTTGTGTTCAGTTTTTCTCGTAAACTGGTCGAGACAGCTGAAGCAAATGGATTTCCAGCAGGTAAAAAATAAGTGCTGCTGCTGCTGCTGCTGCTGCTGCTGCTGTTGATTGCGATGGTCGCTTCTAGGTGTTTGCTGCTGCTGCTGAGCAGCGATTTGCTGCTGCGCGCGAGCTTAATTGCGAAAGCTGCTGCTGCTGCTGCTGCTGCTGCTGCAGATGATACTGTTTATTCAAAATTTCCCAACGACAACATGGGGCCCACAAGAGATCGAGACGCTGCTTGCTGAGGCGTAAGGCTGTTGCTGCTGCTGCTGCTGCTGCTGCTGCTGCTGCTGTTGTTCCTGCTGCTTTTGCTGCTGCTTTCCGGTGCGCTCGCCTTCAAGGGCTAGGCATGTGCTGCTGCTGCTGCTGCTGCTGCTGCAGGTTCGTTCTCAAGTCTCTTTACCATTCCGCACCCAAACACTTAAACTAAAGTGCGGGCGCGCAGAACTACAGCAGCAGCAGCAGCAGCAGCAGCAGCAGCAGCAGAACGGCACAGCAGCCAATGCAGCAGCAACAGCAAGACCCAATGTTTTGCAGCCGTGCAGCGAAAAATGCTGCAGCAGGTCCCGCGTCTGGTGCTCGCTGCTGCTGCTGCTGGTTGCTGCTGCTGCTGCTGCAGCCGCTGCAGCAGCTGCAGCCAAATGTTCCCGAGGGTTCTACTGGCTCATCGCGTGCTGCCAACAGGGACGGGCTGCAGCAGCAGCAGCAGCAGCAGCCTCAGCAGCAACTTCAGCAGCAGCAGGGGGGGTCCCTCTGCTGCAGCAGCAGAAGGGGGGCTAGTAGCTTCGCTTTTCCTTAACTCGAGGAGAAATTTAATAGTGCAGTAGACTGCAGCAGCAGCAGCAGCAGCAGCAGCAGCAGGAACTGTAGCAGCAGCTGCGGGCAACTTCTTAGGGTTTTATTGCTTCGTTGCTGCTGCTGCTGAAGCGCAGCAGCGCTGCTGCTGCAGCAGCTTGTATCTACACAATGTGTGGCTTGCGGCATAGCGCGAAAGTGTCAACGGCCTTTTAGGGTTTAGGGTTTAGGGTTTAGGGTTTAAGGAACGTTAGGGTTTAGAGTCTGGGGTTTACGGCGGTTTAGAGTTTAAGGAACTTTAGGGTTTAGAGTCTAGGGTTTACATCGTCAACGTATCAGGGTTTAGGGTTTAGGGTTTACACTGCATCTGTGTCAGCTGCAGGTATAGATGTTTGTTGTATGGTACAAATAAAAAAAAAATATATATATATATGTATATATATATTATATATGTTTGTATGTATGTAAATATATATATTTATAAATGTTATTTATTGCAAAAAGGCTCTAAATAAGTGCATGCGCTGGTATACACACTCACAGTCTATGATAAGCAGATCTAGGGTTTAGGGTTTATGTGGATATCAATATTGCAGAAGTCCGCAAATTGGTATTTATTTCAATCAAATTTAGCTTTATTTGCAAATACAAATTAAATTTTAATCAATTACACTTTAAAATAGAAACAAAATAGAAAGAAAGTGCTCTTAAAAGGAAAAAAAGGTGCAAGTGAAGATGTGCGTTATTTGGAGTGTACGTACACTCCAGAGTGTATCTACAGCTGGCGCGCCGACGCCGTTTTTTTTGGAATTGGCATTTTTATGAATTGTGGAATTGGCGCTTTTAAAATACTTTAAAGCTTTCAAAATAAAACAATAAAACAAAACTGCAAATATAAAAGTGTAAATATATCTTTTTTTCCGTTTGAAGTTTCCAGTTGAACCCCGAACATCCGGTGTGCAGAGAAACGCGCACCTGTAGATACACTCGAATGATCATGCATAAATACAAAACTAAATCTGAATCTGAACATAAATATATATTTTAAATATTTATTTGTTTGTAATTTCAGTTTAAATTATAAACATCAATACATCAATTGTGCATAAAAGCGCGCTGCGGATATCTTCTGTGCAGCGAGCGCATGCACGCCAGGTGTCTAGACACCCGGCACTCCCGTTGCGTCGTATCCTTAAAATCCTCGAAATCAAAACAGTGCAAATAAATTTAAACTAAAAATAAATAAAACTTTGAAATAAATAAATCTGCTTTCGTTTTCAATTCAATTTATTCCTTCCAGGCTCTCTTGCTGTTGTGTACAGACACCGCGTGCAGCGCCTCGTTTCGGCAGCCTCGGAAAGCTGAAAAGCGGGTCAAAGTGGCGAATTGAATTGCAAATAAGTAATAAATAAATTAAAAAGGAATAAAATAATAAATTTATTTATTTTATTTCAATTTATATTTCAATTTAAGGCTTGTTGCTGTGGAAACGGCGAAACATCGGGTGCATCTCCGCCGCGGGCTTGGGGCCCCGCGCGCTGCGGGGGGGCCCCCGGGGGGCCTCAAAGCCTGAAAAGGAGCAAAAAGAACAGAAAAAACGCAAAATGAAAAAGAAATACCATTTAAAATAAAAAGAAAACAATTTAGCGATCAAATTTAATCCTTTTGAGTCAAAAAAGCTCGAAAAATGAACAAAAACGATACAAGGAAGCAATTTTGCACGAAGGCTATATTCATACTGACGGCATTTATGTCTGCAGTTATAATTCATAATTGTAATTAATATTTATATTCTTATTTATAACTATATTTGTATTTATATTTATAATTATATTTATATTTATATTTATATTCATATTTATATTTATATTTATATTTATATTTAATATTTATATTTATATTTATATTTATATTTATATTTAATATTTATATTTATATTTATATTTATATTTATATTTATATTTATATTTATATTTATATTTATATATTTATATTTTGTCATTTCTATTTATATCTGTTATTTATATTCATATTTATGTTATACATATCTGACTTCATCTATAGTCACGGGCGCACATGATGCTAAACCCTAAACCCTAAACCCTAAACCCTAAACCCTAAACCCTAAACCCTAAACCCCAAACCCTAGGGGGCGAAGCTGTAAGTGGAAGGCTTGCCTGAAATTCCGGCGAGTCCTCCCTGGACGACGCGGACGTTGGGCTGCTGTTCGTGCTGCTGCTGCTGCTGCTGCTGCTGCTGCTGCTGCTGCTGCTCCTGCTGCGGCAAATAAGCCCCTTCGTCTTCATCTTCATCCAAACTTTTGTCCAAATCATCACTCAACAAAATGTCCCGCAGCAGCGCCTGCTGCCGATCCCGATCCCCGTAGACGAGGGTTTGCTGCTGCAGCGGCAGGTCTCTGCAGTGCAGCACTTTGTACGAATAGCCCTGCAGCAGCAAACCCTAAACCCTAAACCCTAAACCCTAAACCCTAAACCCTAAACCTTTGTCCGAAAGGCCCTGCAGCAGCGGCCCAGCCCCAAACCGCAGCTCGCAGGCCCCCTGCGGCGCGCCGCGGCCGCGCGCGCGGCCTAGGGTTTAGGGTTTAGGGTTTAGGGTTTAGGGTTTAGGGTTTGCCTGGTCGATGATGAACTGCTGCCGCTTGTCCGCGTAAACCATTTCCAAAGTGTCTTTGCTTATTAAAGAATAAAAGTAAGCATTAAACCCTCCGTCTTCTTCCGCGCCGCGCGGCTTTGCCCGCAAAATCCGCCCCAGCCGCTGCGCCTCCTGCCGCCTGCGGTGTACGTACGTGCAGCTGCTGCTGCTGCTGCAGCGGCAGCAGCTGCTGCTGCAGCTGCTGCAGCTGCTGCTGCGCTGCTGTGCGGCTGAGGCTCCTACTCGTCATCCGGGGCTAGTCGGGCTGCTACTCCTCCTACTGCTACTGCTGTTCTTGCTGCTGCTGCTGCTGCTGCTACGCTACTCTTGCTGCTGCTGCTGCTTCTGCGATGCTGCTGCTGCTGCTGCTGACCTGGAAGCAAAGTTGAAGGAGATTTGAATGACGACGTTAGCGCACGGAATGTCAATTGCATTGTCTCCGACTTTTGTTTCTTTAAGAGTGTTGAAGGAGCTTTCATTCTGCGCCCCAAACCCCAAACCCCAAACCCCAAACCCTAAACCCTAAACCCTAAACCCTAATCCCTGCACCGTGCCTGAACCCCGAAGCCCCCAAAGCCCGCGCAGGCCCTCTTTTCTGCGCTCCTCCTCCCCGCTTAGGCTGCAGGGTCCAGTGTTGGAGCTAGGGTTTAGGGTTTAGGGTTTAGGGTTTAGGGTTAGTGAGGATAGCCATGCGTTCTGGGGGGCAAACTTTGCCGTAAATGAAGGGCCTGTTCAAAGCCCTGGCCGCATGCAAAAGGGCCAAACATTAGGGCTTAGGGTTTAGGGTTTAGGGTTTAGGGTTTAGGGTTTAGGGTTTAGGGTTTGCCTTGAACTTGGTGA